GCTAACGAAGTGCCGCGGCCGCCGGCCGCTCCTCCCAGAGCCTCTGGGACGCACTGAGCGTCCCCTCCCGGCCTCCCGAGATCACAATAGCTGCCTTCACCCGGTGCCCGGCGTTGGCTCTCATCCCGCAACCTCAGAGCAAAGGGAATCTGCCCCAGTTGGGAGAGGAGCCCACACTCTCCCCCACAAGCAAGGGATATTTTATTTTATTTGCAATTTCATGTTTTAGCTTAAAAATTCTGGAGAATTTTGCTATTAACCCTAATATCCTGTTAAGACTTTGGAAATATTTTAGGATATTTAACCTAAAGCGTTTAACTTTAAAATGTTTTAGGTGAGAGCCCTGGCGGGGTAGCTCAGTTTGTTTGAGCATCATCCCGGTACACCAAGCCTGCAGGTTCCATACCTGGGTTAGGACACATCCAAGAGTCAACCAATGAGTGCATAAATAAGTGGAACAGAAACTTTACCTTCAAAAACCAGCTACATACGTACCATTCTAAATAATTTCATCTAGAAACTTTCTGAGGAAATAAAAAAATTTTAAAAATGTTTTAGGTTACAGATTTTCATTCCCTGCCCAACATGGTCCAGAGAAATGGATATTTTAGGAAGATAGGCCACCTACATGGCTTCCACACACATCTCCTTTCTCTTGGGCAATCTCTCAGCTCCACCTGTCTCTCTCTTCAGCCCCGTTTTTCTCCCAACAGCATTTTACCTCCTTGTCCCAAGCAAGAAACGAACCAGTGGTTCAGGACCTGCAAGAAACAGCTGCACCGGTGTCCAACCAAAGGACTCAAGGGTCGCAGGTTCGATTCCGGTCAAGGGCATGTACCTGGGTTGCAGGCACATCCCCAGTAGGGGGCGTGCAGGAGGCAGCTGATGGATGTTTCTCTCTCATTGATGTTTCTGACTCTCTATCCCGCTCCCTTCCTCTCTGTAAAAAATCAATAAAACGTATTTTTTAAAAAAAGATTATGTAGCTTAGGCATGATTGTTCGTAGTTAAAGTGATTAATTACCCGCCTGGGACTTAGTTAAGGGGTTTTATTCCCTCCCTAACTTCAGGGGAAAATCCCTACCTGGGGAAACAACCTTTCTCGGAGAGGTGACCTTGGTTAAAACACAGGGCCAAGGAGGTGAGCAAACATATTAAGAACAGTATGCCATATATGCCAGGTCCCTTGAAACAGCAAGGATGGACTGGCTCCCGGCACACATCCTTCCTGCAGGTGTACGCCCACGCTAGCTCCTCCGAAATACTGACCCCTGCCTCTACTCAATCTCTCCTCTCCCAGAAAGCAAATCGCCCTGGGAACTCGCGCCTGTCTGCTTCTGCACCTCCCAGATCCTGTCTTTTCCAAACCCCCTCCCTTTTCCCTTCTCCCAGAGGTGTCCCGGAAGTTCCCAGTTCTGGCCCTGTCCCTGCCCTGCCAAACCAGGATTCCATCCCTCTTCCAGCCTGCCCAGCAGTTGACATTTTACAAAGGGTGGCTCAGAAGACTTCACGATGAAGGTGACTTTTTGTTGTTGTGGTAAATATGCACAACAATATTTACCATGTTAACCATTTTTAAGTGTAGAGATCAGTGGTATTAAGTACATTGTTCTGCAACCAGCATCTTCATCCATCCACTGAACTCATCTCCCCCAAATGAAACTCCCTACTATCCCCTCCCCGAAGCCCCTAGCAACCTCTCTTATCCTTTCTGCCTCTAGGTACGTCATGCAAATGTCAAAGTAAGAAATATTCAAACCTATAGAAAATTTTTGTGCGTTTATTTGAGCCAAACTGTTGGCAATTGCTGGGAAGCAGAATCTCAATGGATTGGGATAATGCTCCAGAGAATGGAAGTTGTTTTTTTTTAACCTATTTTTATAAATTACAATCAAAGGAGGAGATGTAGGTGTGTTACATGAAATCCATTGGTGATAGATTAGAGAGGCGGGAGAAAGCAAAGGTTGGGGGGGGGGACTTCTGGGATTGGATAAAAAGTGAAATGATAGACACATACTTCTTTTACTTAGGTGGGTACTGGATAATTAACAGTCAACAATTAACATGATGACAATAACAATGAAGGAATTTGTGGTATCTGTCCTGGCACCCAGGACATTTGGTTGTGCCCTGAGGGGTCTGGAAAAAGGGAAGTTACAAGTAACCTTGACATTTCTAAGATATGTTATCATAGATGCAAAAAGACTAAGGTAAAGATAAAGGTTAAGGTAAAGATTGATCTTGTCAGGGAAGATACCAGCCTAGGAGGTGCTACCCACCATAACTGTTTTCAGTTAAAGTTTAATTTCAGATCATCCTTTGTGGTTACTTTAGGTCTTATGTAGGCCTTCCCTGAGCTTGTCAGGTTAGCATGTGGCCTCTTTCATCCACACAGGCTTCTTTCACTTATAATAATTCCTTCAAGTTTCATCCATGTTGTAGCAGATGTCAGATTTAAAATATATATATATATTTTTTAACATACATTTTATTGATTTTCTACAGAGAAGAAGGGAGAGAGACAGAATCAGAAGCATCGATGAGAGAGATCGATCAGCTGCCTCCTGCACGCCCCCCCACTGGGGATGTGCCTGCAACCAAGGCACATGCCCTTGACCAGAATCGAACCTGGGACCCCTCAGTCTGCAGGCTGACGCTCTATCCACTGAACCAAACCGGTTAGGGCCAGATGTCAGATTTCAAGATGGTGACTTTTGATTTAATTCCCGAAGGAAGTGAGGAAGCTAGAGGAATGCGAAAAGGCCCTGAGGTAGGAATGGAGCTGGTTAGATAAAAAGGCCAGTGCAGCTGGAAGAAGATGGGGGGTGGAGGGGAAGATAATAGTGATAAGGCAAATTTTAAACGAAAGTTAACAAAATTTATTTGCTTTGAAGATCTAATTGTCTTTTTTTGTTGTTTGTTTTTTTAAAATGTGCCCTTGACCAGAATTGAACCCAGGACCCTTTGATTATAAGGCTGATGCTGTATCCCCTGAGCCAAACCAGCCAGGGTGAGCTACTTGTCTTTATTAAGCGATTCATGAATTGATTGGGCAGCATCTCCTCTAGCAACTAGAAGGGCCACTCTAAGGGATTGTATAAAATGGAAGGTTTATATAAGAAGAGGAGTAGGGCAAGGGGTCTATTAACAAAAGAAAAGATTATTTGAGGGCCAATATCTTTTCTTTAGGGGAAGGGTTTTATCATGCAAATTTCCTCTTCTGTGTGTGTGTGTGTGTGTGTGTGTGTGTGTGTGCGTGTGTGTGTAGGGCGGGGGTCGGGAGGTGGAGAAGGCCTCTGTGACAAATTGCCTTACTGGTGCTTGACCAGAAAATTCCAGACCAACTAGTTGATTAAGATTATGTTACTGGGAGAAGTTGGAACTGTAATTAGATCAGGTATTAAATCTAGGTTTGGTATCATAAGCTTTTTAGCAGAAGTGATACTACCCCGGTTCTGTAATTTTTATCTTTAACAACTGAGTGAGCTAGGAAGTCACTGGAGGGTTTTGAGCTAATTCTACTGAACATTTCTGGCTGCTGTGTTGATAACAGAAGGGCGGGAAGCAAGGGCAGAATAGGGAAGCCATTGAGGAGGCTGTTGCTTCTAACATTGGCTGGAAGATTTTCACTGGTACATGGGGCAACACTCAACAGCTAAGCCACACCGGCCAGGGCTGAGGGGCACCTTTACGTGCTGGAGGATGGGAGTGGAGCAAAGTATTCCAGATGGAGGGCACAGCTTATCAAAGGCTCATAGATGAGAGGTGCCTTTTCATTTCCAAAGCCCCAGGGCAGGGCCCTCTACTGGCCCTTCCTAGCTGTGGAAGAATTGGAACCATTTCTTATTATTTGCAGTAACCCCCCCACCCCCTGCATTCCCTCATCTGTGGTTTTACTTTTCACTATTTCATTTACCTGCTGTCCACTGAGGTTTGAAAATATTAAATGGAAAATTCTAGAAATAAACAACTCATATGTTTTAAATTGCATGCCGTTCTCAGTAGCATGATGAAATCTTGCACTGTTCCACTCTGCCCCACCCAGCACACAATCATCCCTTTGTGGGGCGTATCCAGGCTGCGTGCATATAAGTTAGTCATTTCGCTGCCTTCTCCGTTATCAAATCCACCCTCCCGTAACGCCACCTTAAAAGGATGTCAGGTCACTAATGATTTCCACGTTGTCCAATGGGCCATTCTCTGACTCTCAGAACTGTTTTATGCAGTCAACTCTCTCTCCTTCCTGAAACACTTTTTCCTTGGGTTTCCTAACGCTGCATTTCCTCCGACGAGGTTAGCTCTCTTTCCCCACTTTTTTATTTTTATTTTTTTTTAGTTTTATTGCTTAAAGTATTACAAAGGATATTACATATGTCTTCTTTCCCCACTTTTAAGTGTTGGTGCTGCTTTGGGCTTTGGTTGCTGTTTACATGCAGATGATCCCCATATTTATGTCCCCCTCCTAATCTTTTTTTTCTTCCTCTTCCTAATCTTTATTCAACTGTTAACTTGCCATCTTGACTTGCATGCCCCATAGGAACCTCAAGTTCAACATGCACATTGTCCTCCTTCTAGTGCTCCTATCTCACCAATTGTCCCACTGTTCTTCAGCGGTCCTAGCTAGCAACCTGCGAGTCATTTTTCTTTTCTTTCTCATCGAACTTATTAGGGTAACACTGGTTAACAAAATTATATAGGTTTCAGGGGCACAATTCCACAACACATCTGTGCAATGTGTTGTGTGTTCACCACCCAAGTCAAGTCTCTTCCCATCACCATTTATCCCCCATACTCTCCTTGCAAGTAATTTTTGAACCTCCCTGTCCCTCAACCTTTACCTCCAGTCATTCACCCAATCATCATGCT